ATTTTGAAGCTTCCCTCTTCTCTAGATTTCCCCAACAACACATAAGGGATAAATTAGAGAGAAATAAACATTTCTTCTTCCTATACCCCCCACCAAAGTGTGAAAAAGATGTTAGCCATTGAAGACATGTGAAATAGAGAGGATGTCACTTGCAAGTAGGGCTGCAATGCTAAAGCTATGTTGCAATAGTGAGAAACAACTAAATCCCCCCACCCCAAAAAAAGAATTCATTAGAGAGTATCTCTATATGAAGATATACTAATAACAGGAGTGATATTTTATTCTTGAATGACTATTATATTTCCCAAGATATCTAAACGTTACAAAAGATATAGTAGTCCTCAAAAGTTGAAAGTATATTCATAGTTTCCTACCATAAGTTCAAACTTAATTTACAAATCAGCAAAAGCAAACAGTATATTTTCTCATATTTAATTAACCCCTTAACTTTTTCATGGGAGTTTTTCTCATATTTGAAGTTTTTCTCAGACAAGAGCCATAATGTTTTCTCCATACACAGAACTACTAAACATGTTTAAAATGTTGGTAAATTAATTCAAGGAAAAATCAAAGAAAATAAACCTTGGATATGTAAGGTATGAGCTTGAACCTTGAATTTCTATATGCATTATCTCCTTCAATATTAAGGTATGAGTTTTTATTTCTGAATTATTTTGATTGAAACATATGCTAGGAAATTGAAAGAGCAGTTTTGAACATCTAATCATTAACAGAAGTAGGTGGAGATGGCTTACGGGATTAAGCGTGTTTTGTTCTTTGAAGCTTTATTCAAGAAAACCATAACGATCGAGACCGGCTATGGAATTTCTCTCTATCGCCGACGTTATCTCTCTTCCCCAGTAGCTGGTTTCTGAATATGGAAAAGTCCATCTTGAAGGACGCCACCGCATTGCTCAGAGACAAGAGCGTCATCGCGTGTTCGGCCTCCTCAGCCACGCCTACCGGTCGCCAGTTCATATCCAGGACCTTTACGCCCGGCCCGTTCGACAACCCCGGCTAGGTGCCCACTGTCGCAAAGAAACAAACCCACATCACATAAGAAAAACAACCAAAAAACATATCAGACCGTGGGCTCAAACAAATTAAAAACGAAAACCCTAACATGAGAATCAACTTCCTCCTAAGCTCAAAGCCAACACCGTGAACGACCGATCTAAAGAAGAAGAAGAAGAGCCTATTTAGGTCGTCGACTAGTGAGAGAGGAATCCAGACCGCCACCGTCGTCAATGGCAGAAGCTGTTTAGGTTGCGTTGAAGAGCTCGGCCGTCGGCCGTAGATGTTATTGGAGGCCAACATTTGGGAGGGGAGGGGAGGGGATACTTAGTAGATCTGATCATCTTACAACATGCACACCGACGACGACCAAGACACTGAACAAACACTTCAAAAACCCATCAGCACACAGGAAAGAAAAGGCCAAAAACCCATCGTCTACCCCCCAACCCCCACGGGAAAAAGACTAAAATGTGTAGAATGGGCTTCTAATTTGCCAAAATATGTGCTGACTTTTTTTTTGACAGAAATATGCAAAACTCTATTGCGAGTTGCGTTTTTGAAGGTATAGTATCCGTATTTTTTTTTTTCGTTAAATACGTAAAACGCAACTAGTAGTTGCGTTTTCCGTATTGAATACAAAAAACGCATCTCCCAGTTGCGTTTTCACAATACGTATGGAATACGTTAAAACGCAATTGGGAGATGCGTTTTACGTATTATACTTTTAAATACGTAAAACGCAAGACCCAATTGCGTTGTCTTTACCGGCGTATATCACCGGAGAATTTTACAAAAACGCAAGAACGAATTGCGTTTTTTGATCTTTTAATGGTACAGTGCACGCTCTTTCAATTTCCTCATTCAACTCTGCTTCTTCTTTTTGTTCTTCAATTTATTCTGTTTTTCTATCTTCGGTTGTGCTTTCAACAGGCCATGGAGGATCAAAACTGCAACGTCATATATGAAGAGGTAAAACTCTCACTCTTTCAGTTGTTCTGAAGTTATATATATATATATATATATATATATATATATATATATATATGTGTGTATGTATATAATCAGCTATATATGCATGATCAATTGAAAAAAAAATAATTAATTTGTTTAAGTTAAATCAGGAATTCGTGTTGAACTCGCGAGGAATGAAGCTTTTTACGTGTAGATGGCTGCCGGTGCAGTCGCGGCCGGAAATTTTTAACATTTCAAAAACGCATTTACAACTTGCGTTTTAACTATTCGCACCAAAAACTCCATTGCGAATTGCGTTTTGTGGTTCTCACCGGCCTTCAAATTCGCCGGAGCCGGCCGGTACAAAAAAATGACAAAAACGCAACTTGATTTTGCGTTTTACGTATAATACGTGAAACGCAAACGTAAGTTGCGTTTTGGGGGATACCGTATGCGCTGAAAAATGCAAGAGGCAGTTGCGTTTTACGTATACGACGTTTTACGTATCGTATACGTAAAACGCAACTGCCTCTTGCGTTTTACACAAATACATGAAAAATACAAAATACTCCAAAAACGCAACTCCGAAAGGAGTTTTGCATATTGTTGTCAAAAAAAAAATACGACACATTTTGAGAATTTCGCCTTGTTGACCGCACATTCTAGTCTTTTTCCCCAACCCCCACACCCCATTGCCATAAAATCTAGAGAAGCGCGCAGATACCAATATAAAGGGAGAGATTGTCAAAAGCTTAAATCGGAAGCTTCCACACACGAATAGGACTTCGTGCATGACTACGTTCAAACTTAAAACAAGTGAAACAACAAATCTCAGCCATCCAATCTCAAAAATCCAAAGACCAAAAAATGTCCCTATGTTTCTCAGCCATGCTTTTCCTTATATTTTTTTGTTTAAACTTTCCCTAATATAATTTTTAAACAATCAATTTCAACAGTAATATATAAATTTTATAATTCCAAATAAATGTACACTTTTAATATTATAATGGTTTATAATTTAATCATTAATTTTTTTATTTAAATATATAATAAAAAAATGTTATAACACGATTAATTTATTAGTTATTTTAAGAGTTAATGCCCATTTTGATCATCTTACTATTAGGTAATACTTGATTTAGTCTCAACTATTAAAAGTACTCAATTTCGTCCTTTAACTTTTAAAATCACACCCAAATAGGTCATTCGTTACAATTGTCATCTATCCATGGTTATTTTGAGGGCAAATAAGTCATTTTATTTGCTCCAAACCCGTTTATCATGTCTCCATTCTCAGCGCACAGCTTTCTTCGACATGGAACACTTCTTCCACTTCCTCCTTTCACTCATCTCCTTCCTATTCTTTGTCTTCTTCCTCGCTGCAAAACACCAGAAACCCACTAAACCCAGCTTCAAATTCTACCCACTAGTCGGAGCATTACCGAGATTCACACTTGGAGTGAAAGGTTCGCAGTTGTACTATGGTCAATCTAGAAATGACGCAACGGTCCTGTTCTCTGACAAAGAATGCCCAGTATGGACTAAAGACGTTATAATCAACCTGAGATGCATGGAGTATTACACCGCATTCCTCGAGAGAAAAATCGAGAACCCATTGGAGAGTCGCCAAGCAACCAAACTTTTGCGATGGTAAAAGCCTCATACTGGCTATGTGAAGATCAATACAGATGGTAGTGTGACACATGGAAACGGCAAAACAGTGTGTAGTGGTGTTTACGCGATGAGAAAAGAGACTTGATCCTGGGATTTTCAAGAAATCTTGGCAGATGCAGCCCATTCGAAGCAGAAGCACGGGGGTACTCACTAGCCTATTAGTAGCAGAGGAACTTGGCCTTGAATCTGTAATATTTGAATCGGATGCACTAAAAGTTTTGGGATGCATTCGCGGGCAAAGAATGGTCAAAGGAAATGGGAGAAACTTCATCAAGAACCGCCACCACTTTCTGGAATTGTCCACCGACGTCCTCGCCGCTTACCCCACCAACACCGCCGTCTTCTGCCGCCCCGGCAAGGTCCAGGATTTCCTCGGCGTCGGGATTTTCAACCGACGGCGACTAGTGGAAGACCCAGTGCGAAACTGCCAGCTACAAGTTCAGCACCAGATCACTCCGGAATTTCGCCATGGAAACGGCCAACACGAAGTTCCACACCCGCCTTGGTAATGGCTCCAATGCGTAACTCTCATGAGCTTCTCTTCGTTCTTCTGACCCACGAGAAGAAGGGACAGTCCCTTGCTATACCCAGAAGCTGAAGAAGAGAAGGAACCCCACCTTCTACTGCCAATAACATAAGTTCTTCTCATCTGGGCACCATCCAAAATTGTCGTATATATGCGTATCAGTGTATGAATAATATCATAAGGACGGTTTTGCCCCTCAAAATAACGGCGTATAGATGGAAATTGTAACGGAAGACCAATTTGTGTACCGTTTTAAAAGTTAGAGGACTAAATTGGGTACTTTTAATAGTCTGGGACTAAATCAAGTATTACGTAATAGTCGGAGGACTAAAATGTGTATTAACTCTTCTTTTAAAAAGTCAATAACCAGTACTCCTCATACATGTAATCATTAGTGTGTGGACCATGGTCCACATAAGTTGTGTGAACTATATTTTGTATACTGTAAAATAATGTATATTTAGTACAAAAAGAATGTACATTCAGTACAAAAATAATATACATTGTATTTAAGAGATGTACATTATTTTTGTACTGAGTGTATATTATATTGTATAATATACATATTACATACAGTACAAAAATAATGTACATTTAATATATTAAAAATGTACTTTTTTATTGCGATCCACATAACACTGTATGGATCATGATTCACGTAATAATTTGCCGCATACGTGAGAACCGGCCCAAAAACCGTAACCCAAAAATCGAGTCCCATTTCAGCATGCTTCCAGAAATAGGCCGAAATTCTAAAGCCCGTCTAGGGGAGGGGGACTGGGGGACTGGGGGAGGGAGGCCGAAATTCTAAGATTCTGTTACTTACTACTTACAGAGTGAAGAGAAGCAAATATCGGAAAAAGGTGCTCGCCTTCTCTACACGCTTTGTGATTCTGCCGGACGCTCTCTCTGAGCCTGCTGTTTCTCTAGGTCCGTCACTTCTCAAAGTCTTGCCGGTTGTTCTCAGGTACTTTTTGATCGGAGTTCTGATTGGAGAATTGAGTGCCGCCCTTCGACTTCATTTGATAATTTCTTCGTGTTTTCTACGAGATCAATGTTCTAGCACGCTGTTTCAGATGTCAGGTTTGAATTCTTAGTATTTATAAGGAGTTATTACTGCTGGCGAAGCATTATTGAAGCGGATTCAAGCTCGGGAGTGTTCGATTTTTTTGTTGTCTGATCAGTTGTTGTTAAGTCTGTTTACTGTTTTTGGAGAGATCCAAGTTGAAACCTTCGGATTCTGATCCGGAGATTCTCATCTGATTGAAATATTGAATGACTATTCATATCTGGTGACTTATTATTTAGTTTCATTGGAATTTGAGATTTTCTGTGTTTTGAATATTATACTTTGTTAATTCACCATTATAGTTTATAGTTTAGAGTCGATGTTGGTGTGGGGAATGACAATATGACATGATTGACTAGTGAGGAGCCACCATTTGGTGTTTGCTGTTGTTGGTGGTGTGTGTATAGCATGCTATATACTTGTATATTAGGTTCCCCCATTAAGTTAGGCAGAGATAGGCCTAGTGGGAACTTTGAGAAAGTTTGATTTGCTTTTTCTGAAGGAAAATAAAGCAGAAAAGGTTAGTTTTATCCAATTATTAGAACCTGGATCATCTTGATCTCTTTTTTTAAAAATAATTTCTTCAAAGGAGAAGTGGTTAGTAGAATGGCACAGAGAGGTAAAGGTCTTCATTCAATCAAATCTTTACCTGTGGATTTTGAATTTGTGAAGTCTGATTCTTCAGAGCAACTTGATGTGGGAAATGATACTGGTTATAGAATGACATCAAATAGTATACCAGAGAATGGGGAATTTTTGAGTAAGGTTAATGGCAATGTTAATAGGGATAATGATGAATCCCCTTATAGAAGTTTGAGCTTTCCTATGGATGAAAGGCCTTTTGCAGTTTTAGATGATCCGAATATTGCTACCTCTCATTTACTTTCATTTGCCCCCACTGCTGTTGAATCAAAGTGGAGTGACACCAGCTCATATGCCACCAAAAAGGTATCCCTTTAATATTACCTTTTGCTTCCACTTTTCATTATGTTCCATTCACTGATATTTTGTTTCAGACTGTATGTGACTTGATTATTTGATTTTCCGAAGTTGTAGAATCGTTCTTGTTCATTCTCTCTATTTGTATATTTGCAAACTTGTGTTGCTTCAGTACGAGAGCACATTAATCAATCTGCCTTTACTTGGCTCTTATGGTTGTTGAAGAATGCTTCTACAAAGCAGGCAGTCTCTTGTTTATCAGTTTGTATATTTGCAAACCTGTGTTGCTTCAGTACGAGAGCACATCAATCAATGTGCCTTTACTTGGCTGTGATTGCGATATCGCTCTATTTGGCGCACCTAGCTAGTTGTTAGAAGCTGAACACTGTTAAGATAAGTGATGAGATTAGAAATGTTTTCTAAAATTAGTTGTTGATTAAGTTGATATATGTAAAAAGACTCCAAATGACATCTTTATATTAAAAACACAAAATAACGAGCATAAAAAACAAAAATAAATTGAAAGTTGGGAGTTGTTTTTCTCCAAATGCTATGTGGGATAGTGTCTGAAATTAAGAGCTTTTTTATTTTTTAAACTATTATTTACCAAACACAATTAAAAGTTCAATTATAGTTTAAAATAAGCGATAAGCTCTTAAAATGTCATCGCCAAACAGAGTCCATACAAAAAACGTTGACTTAGATAATTTCATTCTTAGAGTCTTTTTTGGTATTGTAAGAAAGTGGCATATCATTTCTTCAACTCTGTTGAGCTGAAAAAACATTGAGAGCCTTTTATCCCCTGAAACATATTTGCTTTTATCCCTTGGCAATTGTCTACAATGGTGTTTGTAAGTCTTATTAACACCAGGGATTCCATTTTTAAAAAATTATTATTCATGTTAACGGTACTTCTTTCTTTCCTTTCCCCCCACTATCACAAAATATTCTCCCTATCAATTCTCTTTTTCAAAATAGAAGTTCCTCTTTTTAATATATTTAATTTAATTGTTGTTTATGTGAAGAAGCAGAGGATTTACGTGCTCAAATTCTTTGACATTATTTCTGCATATTGGTTTTTAGTCAGTAGAACCTGTCATATTTTTATTGATTGTGTCACCTATTTATTAAAGTTTCCCTTTTCAGAAGTCACATTCTTGGTTTCAACTTCCCAATGGGAAATGGGAGCTTGCGACGATCATTTCCACCTCTGGAACTGAGTCAGTGATATCATTTCCTGAGGGAAAAGTGAGTTTAACTAGTTAGGTTTTGTGTTTGGTCTATAGTAGTCAAGTTTATAATTATTGTCATTATTTTTTCTTTTTGGTGGCTTGATTGCAGGTGTTGAAAGTGAAATCTGAAAATCTGCTACCAGCTAATCCTGATATCCTTGATGGGGTTGATGATCTTATGCAACTAAGTTATCTAAATGAGCCATCAGTTTTGAACAATCTTCAGTATCGCTACAGTCAAGATATGATATATGTAAGCTAATATTTTCAAAGGGTGTATATGTTAGTCCTGCTTATTGAGTACTGTATTTCGCTAATAACATCATGTCTTTTCCAGACAAAAGCTGGACCAGTTCTTGTAGCCATTAATCCATTTAAGAAAGTTCCATTATATGAAAATGATCACATCGAAGCATATAGGCGTAAATCCATTGAGGGTCCACATGTATATGCTATAACAGATACAGCAATGAGGGAAATGGTGCGAGGTACTTTGACAATCTTCTCTGAGAATAAAATATTATAATGTCTAGTTTGGAAATAAATTCTTCAGAATTCTGACATTTTCTTTTGATGCAGATGAAGTAAATCAGTCTATCATTATAAGGTTAGCAAGTTGATATCATTTTGTTATTTTCTTGTAAATGTCAGGTTAGTTTGTTCATATCTCTCTAGCTTTAATGCCTCTATTGCTCGTATTAGTGTTCTTTTGTTCTCTATTAGTCAATTCACAGCGTTACCTGATTGAGCTCATTCCCATATGGGCATTCAACTTATTTAGATTGATGTTTTGGTGTAAATTACTAGTTTTTTAGTGAGTGACAAGTTATGTTCTCCCGTCACGGGCATGAAAACAGTCAAACATAAAAGAAAAGAACAAATAATGGAAATTGGGTAAAATCACTATAGTCGAAGACTAAATTGGGTATTAATAGTGGGGAAATTACCAAACTACAGTTGAAGAGGACTCAGTTAGGGAAAGCCATCGAAGCCGAGGACCCAATTAAGCACAAAAAGATGTTTAGGACTAAGTCAAGAAAAATCACTATAGTCGAGAACTAAATTGGGTTGGGTATTAACTCTTTTTCTTTTTCTGTAGTCAGCAGATCACCAAAGCCAAGCAGATGCCCTACAGCAGCATAATTTTAATCTTAATTTTTTAAGTCGTGGGAGTGGGGAGGAGTTTCACTAGATATCTATTGCACAAATTCACAAAATCATGCTTTGTTGTTTATGATAAAGTTTGTTGTTTTATTTTTTATTTTTTTTAAAAAAATCTATTCACTTTGTCTGATTGTCTCAGTGGGGAAAGTGGAGCAGGCAAAACAGAGACAGCAAAGATAGCAATGCAATACTTGGCTGCACTCGGAGGTGGCAGTGGAATTGAGTATGAGATTCTGAAAACAAATCCCATCTTGGAAGCCTTTGGTAATGCAAAAACATTAAGGAATGATAACTCAAGTCGATTTGTAAGTTAATTTTCATTGTTCTTACATGTTATAAAAAGCCTAATGAAATACTTAATGTAATCAATTAAAGCTCGGAAGTTCCCTTTGCTAGATTTTGACAAGGTACAAAAATTCATTGACAGGGAAAACTGATTGAGATTCACTTTAGTCAGACAGGAAAGATATCAGGGGCAAATATTCAAACTTGTAAGATCACATACTGTAAAGTTTCTTAAGTTGGATTTGCTATTTACTCTTATGAGGCCACTGGTGACTAACATATCTGATTCTTCTTTTTCTGGTCTGCAAATGTGACTCCTTAATTTGCAGTTCTACTTGAAAAGGTATTTATTTCTCCCATTTGTCGTAATTGGTATATTCATTTGTTTCTTACACAAATAAGTGAAATAGCTTACTCATAAGTTATTACTTGCAGTCAAGGGTTGTACAGTGTGCGGAGGGAGAAAGGTCATATCATATCTTTTATCAACTTTGTGCAGGAGCACCACCTCTGCTCAGAGGTATAAATCTATAATGCTACTGTTTATTTTATTTTTATTTTTATTAGATTTGGCCCAACACAAGCCCCCCACAAGCCAGCTGCAAAAGGTGTGTAGGTTTGTGTTATGAGATGTGATCAAATTTGGGTAAAGTCCCAAAGGCACAATGACCAATCGTCAATTTCCTTCACAGTTCATTAGTTCAATAAGTCAGTACAAATGTACAATGTCTTGTAGCTGGTTTGAGTACAACTTTTGCCAAAAGTATCCCCATAACAACATGCTTTATCCTATTTAAAGGTTTGACCCTTCACTTGTAACTGCCAATTCAACTGCCCATGACCTTGGGACTCGTTTGAGGACCCTTCACTTGTAACTGCTAATTCAACCTCCCATGACCTTGGGACTGGTTTGAAGACCCTTGACTTGTAACTACTAATTCAATCATCCATGACCTTGGGACTAGTGGGAAGTTAAGTCCAATCATTATCTTGACTGTAACTTCTGTGCCTTGTGGCCCTTGCCCATCATAACTTATGGGAACTGCTTCCATCAACCATGGGCCTTAACTGACAGAAAAGAAATGCTCAGTCACCCTACTTTGTCACTCAACAACCGAGTGCCTATTCAAAATTTGGGCCTCCAGGACACTACGGTTGGCACCGTCCTCCTGGACTGGGTTGGGACAGTACACATTGCCCCATCAATTGTTATTTCAATGAACATTGTATAAGTCTGGCAATCATGTTGTATACCTGGTAACTTGCTTTTGGTAGTTCAGGCACTTTTGTAATCTTGTATTATTAGAATAAGCTTCAAATCTGCCTTAAATGTTTTGGGAAAACATTTAAACTTAAACAGATTCTTTCCTAAACATTAACTACCAAACGTAAAGGATTGGCAGGAAGGAAATGCTTTGTGTTTTTCCTTCTGGATATGTACAAATCTATCTCCATTTGTTTTCTGTTACCTGCTCTTTTCTTATTATTTATCCCTTGTAAAATAAATATGAGCATGAGGTGAGGATGGAGAATTAACAAATGTAAAACATGTTGGAACTTGAAGATATTTGTATAAGGTTCTGGATGAAATACCATAAAATAAAAATTTAGTTCATAAGTGCATAGTGTTGCATCACATGTATTATGATTTAGAGCATTTGGCTTTGGCATTATGCTGCTGTTAAAAATGAAGTTTCTAATTCTTTGCTGTTATATGGGTGCCTTCTTTGCAGGGAAACTAAACTTGAAGGGGTTGAATGATTATAAGTATTTGAGGCAAAGCAATTGTCACTCCATATCTGGGGTTGATGATGCTGAACAATTTCAAGTTGTAGTGGTAATATATATATATATATATATATATATATATATATATATATATACTCTTTTTAAGTGTATTTTCATTCTTATATCACTGAAAAGGATATCCCTTTTGCAGCTGTTCAACTCTATTATCTACTTTATTTTCTTTTGATGTGAAGCCATATTGTATCGGAGGCTAAATTTACTCCTCTTTTTTTTTTTTTTTTTTTTTTTTTCTTTTTTCCAGGAAGCTCTTGATGTTGTCCATGTTAGCAAAGAGGACCAGGAGAGTGTATTCTCAATGCTAGCAGCTGTGTTGTGGCTAGGGAATATCTCTTTTACAGTTGTTGACAATGAGAACCATGTTGAACCTGTTGTTGATGAAGGTAAAATATTCAGGACCTTCTAAGCATTTTTGAGCTGCTTGAAAGTAAAAAATGGCTTGAGGGATTTAGTAAAAGCAAAATATCTTTGTAATAATGACTGTTAGTGTTGCTCTGGTGTTTCACTCGATTAGTATATACAGCTTTAAGGTGTTTATTGTGAACTCCAGTTCTTGAAGTGAACTTTTTCTAATGCTCCAGGGCTATCTACTGTTGCTAATTTACTGGGTTGTGATGTTGAGGCATTAAAGCTGGCTTTATCAACTCGAAAGATGAGGGTTGGAAATGATAATATAGTTCAAAAGCTAACTCTAATTCAGGTAAGGATATATTAATTCAAATTTTATTCAGTTCTACATGGTAATTGGTGACACTATGTTATAATGGTATGCTACACATTTATTGGTTGTCATGTTTCTATCATTCAGGCCATTGACACAAGAGATGCATTGGCAAAATCAGTTTACGCTTGTTTATTTGACTGGTTGGTTGAACAAATAAATAAGTCACTTGCAGTTGGCAAACGACGAACTGGGAGGTCTATTAGTATTCTTGATATTTATGGTTTTGAATCTTTTGAGGTTTGTTCTTCTGCTGTCTTTTCTTTATCTGTTTCTTGCTTTATTGTCTTCTAATTGCGTATTATTTTGCTCTCTTTCAGAGGAATAGCTTTGAGCAGTTCTGTATTAATTATGCCAATGAAAGGTTGCAGCAACACTTTAATCGTCACTTGTTTAAGTTGGAACAAGAGGTTACTTCAATTTCTTATATGTCCTATATTTAATAGATTCTATTCAAGCTTTACTGTTCAGCTGGTGGCATGCATGTCCTTTTTCTAGAATATCTACCTAAATCTCTAGTATAGGCATTGTACTTTTAAAGAATATATAATGGAAACACTACTGAGACATTTTTGGTGGAATATAGAGGTCAGATCAAGAATAAATGATTTTTTTAATTAGTAGTAGCAGCAGTAGGAAGCATGGGCATCAATTGCTTAGTAAATGCAGGGCCAGTATAATTCTCCCTCTGTCCCATTTTGTATGTAATATTTGGATAATGAGGTTTGATTTAAGTAATTTATATTTCAATCTTTTATAATGTATAATTTAGTATTAGTGAATAATATTTTAAAACTACAATAGAAGTTCTATTAAACAGAAAAGACAAAATTTGCAAATTATATAAAATTGTTAAAGAAAATAATCAAAGAAAAGGAATTGGTTTGACCAATGAGTACTGAGTAGTAAATAGGGCATATATAAAATGGGAAAGAGGGAGTCGACTTAAATCTGCAACTAGGGTTGCCTAATCCTTACATTCAACCTGAGAATAGAATCTTCAGTGCTGGTTGAGAATTTCTGTCAGTGCTGTTGTTAACCCTTTTTAATGGATGGTTTCACTGTAAGAAAATTTTGGATTACTTTTTTCCTTGGCGATATCATGGGTTTGCGGGTTTCCATTTTGTATGGCTGGTCCCCTACTGTTCTCTTGGAGCTTTACAAGTGCTTAAGGATTCTGCTTGCTCTGCATTAACTTTGGTGTATATAAATGCATTTTCACTCATGATAATTAATGAAGTATTCTTATTCATAAATGGCATTTAGATTCTTAGAGAATGCAAGAAGTTGAGGTGCATTCTCTGTGTTTTGTCTCAATATAATCAGTTGTAGACTTGTAGCAATGATTAGAAGTGCCTATGAAAGTTCTCCAAGGATTCGAGTTCGTTGCATATCCATATCTCCTCTTGATTTTGTTCTTTAAGCTTTGAATTATTTCCTCCAGGAATACATTCAAGATGGCATTGACTGGAAAAGAGTTGATTTTGAAGACAATACAAACTGTCTAAATCTTTTTGAGAAGGTAGGGAATTACATTTTATAACTAAGAATGTCCTCTGCATGGAGACAGAGTACCTAAAGCTATAAATTAATGATTACTGAAGGAAATTGTGATTTCCAGCCCCCCACCCCACCCCACCTTCTCCCAAGAGAGAGAGAGGAGAGGAGAAAGGAATGAGATTGTAGTAGTAGTAGTTAATATGCAACTTATATTCATAAAATTGCAGGGGCATTGGAACTTAGTGAAAGCTTTTCATTCGTTGTTTATCATAACCAATTTTTGCTGCAAGGTTATTCTAAGTGAAAATTAGCTACTCTGCCCAGTTATCTTCTTATGTTACCTACAACCTCTAATCAACAACTTACTCATTGTTACCATCCAACTGTCCCAATTTCTTTTTCCAATTTGGTTCTTTTTTCAACCCAACATACAAAGGTCAATGTTATCGACCACCATTTAGAAAACTGGCCACCATAACCACCTACTGAAATCATTCCTAGTATAATTATCATCTGCAACTGTCCCAAGTTCAAACAACTCTAGATATATGCTTATGATTGTGAATAATCAATTTCTAAAAATCATCTGGACTTCACATATGCAACTGTGGAAGGATGAGGAATAAGGCAAACAAGAACTGTATTGGGTTTGGGAATGTTTTCAAAGGGAATTATTAAGTAAAAGGGGTATTTGATGGCATTGCTATGGTGGCTGTTTATTCTTCTTTTTTTTTTTTCCTAGTCTAAAATAGTAAAATGATGTATGCAGCTCATCTTTTCAAAATTTCTACTCTATTGGCAGAAACCACTTGGATTGTTATCTCTTTTAGATGAGGAGTCAACCTTTCCTAATGGCACAGACTTGACATTTGCAAATAAACTCAAGCAACACTTAAATTCTAATCCTTGTTTCAAAGGCGATCGAGGCAAAGCTTTTACAGTATGCCATTATGCTGGCGAGGTATGCAGCTCAGTGATAAATCCTAATCTTTATTTAAACCTCCCAGACCTTGAAAGACAAGGGGAAAAATGATCCTGTTGTCCCTTCATCTCAATTATCTAATTTTATCTATATTATGGTATAGTCCTGGGTCAAAGATGATCAGAGTTGAGATTTAGATAGTAGTTGTGTAGCAAATAATCTGGCAGTGTTAAACCATTTTGCATTCTGACATGGTCATAATCGGGTAAAACAATTATGCAACGATCGTGACATGGTCAGAATGCGATGATGGTACTATTCTTTATCCCTTTTTTTTTTTTTTTTTTTTTTTCATTTTCAATTTACGAAACTTCTATTTTTATTCCCAGGTCACATATGATACATCTGGTTTTCTTGAGAAGAATCGTGATTTACTCCATCTGGATTCCATTCAACTTCTCTCTTCTTGCAAGTGCCACCTTCCCCAGATTTTTGCATCCAATATGTTATTTCAAACTGAGAAGATTGTTGTAGGCCCCTTGTATAAATCAGGTGGTGCTGATTCTCAGAAATTAAGCGTTGCCACAAAATTCAAGGTAATATTACACCTGGGTGATTCTTTGAAGTGATGTTTTTCCTCTACTTTTCTCTTTGGAATTGTATTAACTACCTGGTGCCAATATGCTTTGTGGGGTCCTGCCTTAATTGACTCTACCTGTTGCTCAAATTTTCCATTGAGTTGTTCTACAGTATTGGAAGGATTTGTGCATGATTTGCTCAACAATTGCATAATTCTTAGTGATTACTTAGCTCCTAAACACAAAATGTTCATGGAAGAATTAGAGTAAATTTCTCTTCCTTTCCATCTAATTCTTTAAAAGTTGTGCGATATCCAATGGTATAAAAACAACATTTCTTCTAATGGGGGTACTGGGAATGATTACACTGGCGAGTGATGGCACTTTGCCACACACCAGACCGTCCACTTCAATATTTCTAACAATTATTTTTTAACAGAAACAATGATGTCATTTATGTTAATAGGGGGGGAACTCGTTGTTCATGTTTTCCTTTTATACAAGAGCTTTGTCATCTTCTCCCATGTCTCTGAAACCTTTTCTTGGGGCAGAAGGTTAAGAATTAGCTTTTGTTCTAAATATATTTCTTTTTCCTTGCTTTTAGGGTCAACTATTCCAATTGATGCAACGGCTTGAGAGTACGACATCACATTTCATACGCTGTATCAAACCCAACAACTTTCAATCTCCTGGAAAGTACGACCAAGGACTTGTTTTGCAGCAGTTGCGATGTTGTGGTGTTTTAGAAGTAGTTCGAATATCCAGATCTGGATTTCCTGCAAGAATGTCCCATCAAAAATTTGCTAGAAGGTAAGTAGCAAATAGCAATGTTCTTTTCTGTGCCTTAAAGTTTTCTTTATATCTGCTCTGCAATTGATCATAATTGTTCTGCTTCAGATATGGGTTTCTGCTACTGGACCATGTTGCCTCGCAAGACCCACTAAGTGTTTCAGTTGCAATTCTTCATCAGTTCAATATTCTGCCTGATATGTATCAGGTTGGCTATACCAAGTTGTTCTTCCGAACTGGGCAGGTGAGATCAAAATAGCCAGGCATGTTTCTCGAAGGTGAACACTACATGCCTGGCTGAATACCATAAGAAAGAAGCTTTTGCCTCATGCTTTTATATGTGATATTTATTGCATATATTTTTTCATAACCGGTCATTACATAATCGCTCATTTCAGGTTGGGGTGCTTGAGGATACTAGAAATCGCACCCTCCATGGTATCTTAAGTGTTCAAAGCTGCTTTAGAGGTCACCAAGCTCGTAAATCCCTTAAAGAATTGAAGAGAGCAATTGTTACTCTCCAGTCATGTATGACTGCCTAAACTTAATTTTTCTAATTTGTCATCTACTCATCTTACTCTTTCTGGGTCTATTCTATTTGAAGATCTTTCCTTGTACAGTTGTTCATGGTGAAAAAAGCAGAAGAGATTATGCAATCTTGCTACAGAAATACAGATCAGCTGTGTGTATACAGAAGCATGTAAAGGAGAGGATTCATAGGAGAACTTACAGAAATGTGTGTAGTGCATCCATCCTGATACAATCAGGTTATTGTTTAAACTTCCCAAATATTTTTCTAGTCATTAGAAATTTTCATTTGATAGTTGGTATGCTCAAAATCCGTATCTAAAATGTCATGGCAATAAGATAATTTTTAACCGAAGGCTGTTATTTGGGTCTCTCTTTTTTTTTTTTTTTTTTTTTTTTTAAGGAACCCCAGTCACACCATGCTTATTAGGAAAAATATTTTTTGCTTTCGGCTTTAGTGTTCAGACTTCAGAGTTCAAATGCTTCAAAATAATCTCTAGAGAGTAATTTTATTGTATAGCTAGAATATTGTTCTGTCTGAACTTTGTAGTTCTAAGGTCATTTGGGTATCAGCTTTTACTTTAAAGATGCTAGTTAGTGATATGTCTCTTCTAATTTATTTCTCCAGCTATACGTGGATGGCTGGTAAGAAGATGCTCTGGAGACATAGGGCTTCTACAGTTTGGTAGCAAGCAGGTAATAGTGAACTCTAAGATCAATAGTTAAATGTTCTTTATCAATGTGGAATAATTTCCCCATATATGGAGTATCTATGTGGTAATTTGCCATTGGACCAAATGGAAAAGAACTCATGTTTAGTGAATTACGGTAGCCCCAATTCTTTTGCAGAAGTACAATAAAAATATTTGTTGCACTTTTATTTTATATGTGCACACGCACACATAATATTTACAAGCTTCTAAACAGGGTAACGAGTCTGAAGAGGTATTGGTGAAGTCTACATTCCTAGCTGAATTACAACGCAGAGTTCTAAGGGCTGAAGCTGCACTAAGAGAAAAAGATGAGGAGAATGACATCCTTCACCAACGGCTCCAGCAGTATGAAAACCGTTGGTCAGAATATGAGTTGAAAATGAAGTCTATGGAAGAAGTGTGGCAAAAACAAATGAGATCATTACAGTCAAGTCTATCTATTGCGAAGAAGAGCCTGGCTTTAGATGATTCTGCACGGAACTCAGATGCATCAGTGAATGCAAGTGACGACAAAGAGTCTACTTGGGATATAGGGAACAACAGGACCGCCCTCGAGAACAATGGAGTGAGGCCTGTGCGTGCAGGTCTAAGTGTTATTGGCCAATTAGCTGAAGAGTTTGAACAAAGGAGTCAAGTATTTGGTGACGATGCAAAGTTTTTGGTTGAGGTTAAATCTGGTCTGACCGAGGCCAACTTGAATCCTGATCATGAGCTTAGAAGACTGAAACATATGTTTGAATCTTGGAAAAAGGACTACGGAGTAAGGCTAAAGGAAACCAAGGTTATATTGCATAAACTGGGAAGTGAAGAAGGGGCTAGTGATAAAATGAAAAAGAAATGGTGGGGAAGGAGGAATAGTTCAAGGTTTAACTGAGTGATTTGTAAACGTAAATAAATTGTATTGTTTGCATTTTGAGTTGCATCACTACTCACTAGCAAGCTGGAGTAATTTTGTATAGAAGTGAAATGTTTAGTTGTGTAATTTAAATCCTTGATAGCCATTTGCATAATTTGTGAACAATGATTCATATATTTAGTGATGATTGCAAATACAACTTTTAAACTACAATTAGAATATGAAAATGTACATTTGCTACACTTTAGTCCTATCTTTGAGCTCTTGTTCTGCTATCTTAGTTTTTGTTTTTTTGTTTTTTCCTTTTTGTATATTAAACTATAGACCTTTTGCTGCTCAAGAGAGCTAATTGTAACGCGCGGGCAGCGTTACCACGCGGTTCCGGGGTTTGCTACGCATTTCCGGAATTTTCTAGCACTTATACGCAGCATCCCAAAGTTGGTGGAATGGTTTGGAGGTATATAGATAGCACTAGAAGAGGTAGGAGTGCTATAGAACATTCTAGAACATTATAGAGTATTCATAGTTGTGTAGGGATATATAGAATACTCTAGAATATTAGGGAATCCTCCCACTTGTGTAGGGAATTTTGGAGGATTCTAGAGGATTCCTCATGAGGAGGTGGAGTAGTATAAATACCCCACAAGGGGCTCATTTGTAAACCATCCAAGGGAATCCAAGAGGGAGGGATCCAAGAGGAATTCAAAGAGGGAATCAATTAAGCTCTCAAGTACTTTTGCGATATTCTTGCCAACTTGTTTTCCTAGCCATCCCACCAATTACGTAGCATACTTTCGAGGGTCGAAAGAGAGGCTGACTTGGCTATTTAGAGGGGAAAAATAGCTAAGGCCGCACGTGACTTAGTGGGGGAAAATAAGTCCGTGACAGTTGGTATCAGAGCCGCGTTCGTAATTGGGGTTGCTGGTTCGTTGCGATGGCTAACGTGGAGGATGTTCGTGTGTCGGACACGACCGAGGAACGAGGGAGGGAGCCCGTTCCTACCCAAGGCAAGAAGAGGCGCGACCAAAGCAAAGCGAGGGAGGTTGCTGCTTTGGAGCAAATCATTGGGGATAGACTCGAGAGGGTCGAGTTCAATTTCAAAGCACTTGAGGAGCATGTTATGGGGGAGTTCGATAGGGTCAAGGACGAGCGTCAAGCCATGGAGGATCGCCTTGACCAATTCGAGGAGAAAATGATGAGTATGTTCGAGCTGCTGCAAGCAAGCATCGAGTCTATACACGAGGATCTCGCACTGTGCAAGAGGGCCGTTGCGAGTGGAGAGGCGACCACTGCCACATCAAGTCCGAGGATTGAGGTCCCACGACCGACATGTTTCAAAGGCGTACGGGATGCCAAGGAGGTCGAGAATTTCCTTTGGAAAATGGAGCAATATTTCGAGAATATTGGCCTCACTGATGACGTGAAGAAAATCAAGGCTGCTACTCCTTATCTCACTGATACGGCTATGCTTTGGTGGAGACGCAAGCACGCCGATATCGAACGAGGAACCTGTCGCATAGACACATGGGACGAATTCAAGAAGGAGCTCAAGCGACATTTCTATCCGGAAAACGTGGTCTATGAGGCACGTAAACGACTTAGGGAATTGAGGCAACGAGGATCTATCCAAGACTATGTGCAAGAGTTCACAACACTTATGCTTCAAATTTCCAACTTGTCCGAGGAAGATTTATTATTCTACTTTGTCGACGGGTTGCAACAATGGGCGAGACAGGAGGTACAACGACGGAATGCTCGGTCAGTAGACGAAGCAATTGCCATTGCCGAGTCACTAACCGACTTTCGTCCCCAACACCACTTCGATCCGTCGAAGAGAAGGGACGCGAGTCCACCAATAGGTGGGGGAGAGCAGCATCATAACCGAGATGTGGATAGCCCGAGGAGGTCACCAACTCCAAAGAGGGACAGGGGCGTCGCACGAAGGGAGTACGAGGAAAAGAAGAATGCCTTCGTGCCAAAGTTTGCGTGCTACATATGCAAGGGGCCGCATCCAATGAGGGATTGTCCGAAACTTGGTTCACTTTCGGCTATGGTGGAACAACATGAGGCCAAAACCCATGAGGAAGAGGAGACAAGTAGGATGGGATCGCTCCAACTTCTCACTGCCCTTAACGCCAAAACAATGCCAACGACGACGAACAAGGGGTTGATGTACGTCGAAGCGTTGGTGAATGGGAAGCCAACACGAGCTTTAGTGGATACTGGTGCCACCCACAATTTTGTGACCGAGGATGAGGCTAGAAGACTCGGTCTTCGTTGGACAAAGGGGGAAGGTTGGCTCAAAGCTGCCAATGCGAGAGCCCAACCACTCAACGGCGTAGCACGAGGCGTGGAGCTACGCTTAGGCACTTGGAGGGGCCAAGTGAACTTTTCCGTGGCACCATTGGATGATTATAAAGTCGTGCTTGGGATGGACTTTTTCCGTCAAGCCACTGCCATCCCCATGCCATCCTTTAGCACAATATGCATCTTGGAGAAAGGCTCCATGTGTATGATCCCAACCATCGGAGGTCCCAAGAGGCAAGTGGAGGGGGCACAACGACTATCAACCTTGCAAGTCGTGGAAGGAGCCAAGGAAGGAAAAGCCAACACTGGGACCAACACTTGGGTGAAAAAGAGGAGGAAGCCACAAGAGGATAAGCCGCGCCATAAGACCATGGGAAGCCGGAGGAAGATTTATGGCAATCACAAGGCTTTTGGAAGCATACAAGGCGACGAGGGCGTCGCCAAATTAGGTGGGGGAGGATGTAACGCGCGGGCAGCGTTACCACGCGGTTCCGGGGTTTGCTACGCATTTCCGGAATTTTCTAGCACTTATACGCAGCATCCCAAAGTTGGTGGAATGGTTTGGAGGTATATAGATAGCACTAGAAGAGGTAGGAGTGCTATAGAACATTCTAGAACATTATAGAGTATTCATAGTTGTGTAGGGATATATAGAATACTCTAGAATATTAGGGAATCCTCCCACTTGTGTAGGGAATTTTGGAGGATTCTAGAGGATTCCTCATGAGGAGGTGGAGTAGTATAAATACCCCACAAGGGGCTCATTTGTAAACCATCCAAGGGAATCCAAGAGGGAGGGATCCAAGAGGAATTCAAAGAGGGAATCAATTAAGCTCTCAAGTACTTTTGCGATATTCTTGCCAACTTGTTTTCCTAGCCATCCCACCAATTACGTAGCATACTTTCGAGGGTCGAAAGAGAGGCTGACTTGGCTATTTAGAGGGGAAAAATAGCTAAGGCCGCACGTGACTTAGTGGGGGAAAATAAGTCCGTGACATAATTGATACATAGAGTCAGAAGAGCTTGAAGGAGACGAGATGGGGATTTCAAACTTTTGGACTGCCCAAGGTTACCCTCATCACAATGACAAAAACGATAACGGGAAGTGTTAAATGACAAAAGTGATAATTTGATATTAAATTTAAAATTGTCACAAAAAATAAGGAACTTATGTGGAAATTAACTATTTAAATTAATTATTTATGTGCATAAAATTCATTATGTGTATAAATGTGTATTATTTATGGGCATAAATTCATTTATGTGTAAATTTGTTTTGCCTTTTGATGCCGGTATACAGATAAAATTGAGTTAATTCCAGCAACGGTCCTTTGACTATTGTGATTTTTCAAAATTGGTTCTCGTCTTTTAATTTGGACGAAATAGACCCTTGATCATCACATTTGTTCTAGCATTGGTCTTTCCGTTAACCATCAGTTTATTAGGCGTTAGTGAATGGGGCTAAAATGGTCATTTCCTTGATTTCTTCTTCACTTCCATCGTAGCCGAAGCAAGTCTCCAGAGCCCGATTTTGCATCCTCATCCTCATTTCCATCGTTCTAAATGCTCCGTACAGCTTCGCGGGCCTTCTCAATCGTGATACTAGAGCTCAAAACCCTCCGGAGCCGCGATCCTCTACGATCAACCCTAGCAAAAGGTGCTCCATAAACACGGTGTCTTTCCCCAACGCCTTGGCTTCTTTCTGGGAGAACACCACCTTTTTGACAGCTCTCTCGGTGAACATCTCGAACACCCCGCAGACAATAGCAAGAGATCACCTCGCTTTACGTGGGAGCGCGCCGCAGGCCCTGGCCGAAACTAAAATTCCAAAAAGCGTCGAGGAGCTAGAGCTAGGGCTGCTTGCATACCAAGTATGCTTTCTGGAGCTGATGTGGTGGTTGCTGCAAAGACTGGTAGTGGCAAAACCCATGGGTACCTGGTTCCGTTGACTGATAAGGTATGCCAAAGTTCTGGTATATTGGGAGAAAGTGTTGTTGGCCGGGAAGCAAACAAGTCCAGTAAACTTTTTCTTGTTCTCTGTCCAAATGTCATGCTGTGTGAGCAAGTGGTTCGAATGGCTAATTGTCTTCGTAATGATGGTGGCGAACCTGTCATCAGGGTTGCTACTTTTGGTGGCCGACAGGTACTGATATTATCAAAATTATCCTTAACGGTCATGTGGTGAACTAAATGGCTAGTCATTCTTGCATAGCATCTTGCTCTTTTGATTGGAATCTCTTTTTACCATATGAACTGTTCCCCAAGGACTAAACTTTACCCCGCAGACTTGGCCAGTGAAAGAACCATATATAATGGTGTCAGCACCCGCTGCAACTTTGAATTATCTTTGTACAATTGAAGTTGGGAATCATGGCCGATCTAAATTTATACGTTGTGTGAAACATGTTGTAATTTTTCTTCCAATTGAAATGCATCATCAATCGCCTATTTGGCTTATTTCAAATTCATCATGCCTAAATATTAACAATTATTTTATTATAAATAAACACCAAATTTTTGATGAGGCAGACATGTTCCTTTGTGGCAGTTTCCAAAACCAAGTTATTCGGCTCTTGAATATGCTTCGTTTTTATGAAAAGCAATTATCCCTCTTAAGAAATTATAGAGTTGAGATAGTGACGGGCTCAATTCCTGATTTTCCTCTCGGTTCTGATCAGGAGCACAACAGGGACCTACTAACAGATTTCAGCAAAGAAGTAGATGATACTCGTGTAATGGACTCAAAAGTTAATAGCAAGGTTGCAAAGAGAACATATTGGCGAAGAGCGAGAAAAACATACGAGCAAGTAAGCAGTAATTTTTGTTGCTGCCGCGCTTCTTGTGAATGGAAAGAAAACTATCGGAGCAGTGTT